GACTTGGTCCCAAGTCACAGTACTGCTGAGAGGAAGGGCATCTAAGCAGTGGGACCTAGCAGGAGTTGTCACTGGGTCATCACAGCATGTCCTTGAAGGGGATATTGGGGTCCCACCCCCTTCCCAATTGCCATAGGTGAGCAATTTTCTCTACTACACCCTCCTGAGCTTCTGTCTCTAAACAGGCCCAAAGTGATTGTACTAAGTGACCATGGGCCAAAACTTTTGAAACCAGGAGCCAAAATTAACTTTCCTTTTTCTACGTTGCTTGTCTCTGGTGTTCTGTTGCAGTACTGGAAAGCCGACTCATTCAGTATGTAAGCATTGCTTCATTTCATTGTGGCACTGGCCATGAAGATATATTTGTTCTGTAATCATCTGCCATTTCACAGATGAGCAAACAGATGCTCAGTGGAGTGGGGAAGCCCCAGAGCTACTCAGAGATCTCCCAATCCCAATGCCTGTGACACACACTTGACCCCTGGCTCATCTTTGCATTCTCCAATGCCTGGCATACAGCAAGCACTTAATAAATATGCATGATGAATAAATAAATTAACAGATCAAGATCTTGAAGGAACAGTCTTGGTGCCTCGGTTTCCCCTTTTGCAATTGGCGGAGGCTAGACAAGATGGACCTCTGCCCATTGCTTCCCTGCCCAGCCCAGAAAATCCTCCTTCCCAGCACATTCAACTGCCAGTCTTTCTGAGAGCTGCCCTCACCTCCCATAAAGCCTCCCTTGACCCCCAGTCCCAGCCCCAGATCATGTCATTCCTAAGAAGTTCCCAAGTTGTCTGAATACTCCTTAGACATTAAAGCCAAGTTCAAGGACAGAAATATTCAATGAAAAGCAGGGTTTGAATTGTCTCTGACAGCAAAGGAATGTCCAGTCTTTCCTAGGAGACTGACTGGTGTGTGCAGCGCCTGAATCTCTGTTATTTGTGTGTTATCTAGACAGTATCACTAAATCTTCACACCAGCCCCACAGCTATGTGGTCAGTGATTTCCCTTTAATCAGTTGTGAGTCAGCCTGCCTTCCTTCCTTCCTTCCTTCCTTCCTTCCTTCCTTACTTCCTTCCTTCCTTCCTTCCTTCCTTCCTCTCTCCCTCCCTTCCTTCCTTCCTTTCCTTTCCCCTCCCCTCCCTTCCCCTTCTCGTTCCCTCCTCCTCCTAACTTTCCCTTTTCCCCTAACCTAGTCTCATCCTGCCCAGTAACACCTGAGGTCACAGCACTATCATGTCCACAAGTCTATGTACCATCTACAATCAGCTCTCCAGTTGGTAATCTAAGGGTTGAGATCTGAGAAACACTTATTTTCAAAAGCTCTTCTTCAGCCACAGACCAGCCTCTCTAGACAACCCTCATCTGCACTGTCATGGGTGGCTGGAGACAGGCTGCTTGCATGGTTTTATTTTCTTCCTCCTGCTTCTCCACAGGGCTCCAGTTTTTATAATTAGGAGCAATTGCTCCTGTAACTAGAAACCATAAATGAATGCTGGAAAATAACTAAGTCATCGTCTGCTTTTTCCAAACACAGAGTCAGATGAAGAGAGAGAGTGGGGTGAGTGCCCAGGCATCTACAAGCCAGCCCAGAAGTCAGTTCTGAGAAGGCTGCAGCCCTCCAAAGCCCTGCCTCTCACTCCCTCTTCCAACTGTTGTGACTCCGGATTTCATCCCTCCTGCTCTCCTCCCAGAGCCAGCTGTCACCGGGTGTGTGGGGGACAGGAAACAGAATTACAAGATTAGCAGTGAGCGGGCCGTTATCACAGAAGACTCAGAGCCACAGTCCCCACTTGTCACTACCTACTGCAACCTGGGGGCTGGGACTCCAGCCCAAAATAAATTCTGAGCAAAGGCAGGGAGAAGAGATTTCCCATGGACCAGGAAGAGGAGGGTGGAACAAACCCCAGGCTCCCTGTAGGTATTTGTTTGCTCAAGCCATTCTTACAAGATCCCTAGAAAGTGAAGGGTACACTTCAATGTGCCCATTTCACAGATGGGGACATAAGTCTCTATGAGATCAAACCACTTACCCAAAACCACACGGGGTTGACACGCAGCAAGGGTTGACCTCAGTTTTGACTAACTGCAACCCTTCTATCAATTCACTTTCCTCTCTGCTTCCCTCTACCACTGTCCCTAAAGCCGGCTCCAAAGAACTGGATAGTAGATGACCCTGTCCAATCCCCCAGAAGGTCAGTGGTCAGTCCATCCTTCCCGTGGTTTCTCAGTACCACTCCTCACATGGCCTCAAAGACCCATGTGGCTCTTAGGCTGAGAGATTGGATCCAACATGGCACTCCTTGGTGGCTAGCCCCTCTCCCTCCTTCTCTCCTGACACTTGGGAAGAAGACCAGTCAAACTGGAGTAATGGTGGTAGGGGAGGGCTGGTCAGGATAGCCATTACCAGCCAAAGCAGAGTCATCTACAACAGGTGACTGGGGCTCCAGCTTCTAACATCTTAGATACCTGCCCTTTCCCTTCCTGTCTCTCCTTTCACATCTGACATCTGTCTTGAACTCCTACAGGGCAGGGTCCTGGCCTGACCCAGAAAGACCATAAGGGGTCCTGAGAAGTCAGACAATGGACCACACAGGCTTTGGCCAAGGGAAAATTCTAGAGGAAGGAAGGGTCACAGGGAGCCCCAAAGATATTGGGATCTGGCCAGGAGAGGGAAGGGAGAGCCCCTGGGGTAGACTGAACACATGACCAAGCACTACAAACAAGGGAAAGAAAGCAGGTCCTTCAGTATGAAACAGGGTGACCCCAAAGAGGGACAGAGCCAGGGGCTCACAGGGCCTGATGGGAAGGGTGTGGTCTGCCAAGGGGAGGGGCCAGGACCAAGGGGCCTGGCAGCATTCTCAGGTATGCAACCACCTTGTCTAGTTGTGTTTTACATGGCTCTCTGTGGCGACTTCCTGGAGAAGGTTCCAGAAGAGAAGGGGGTACTGTCAGTCTAAGCAAGTCAGGAGGCTGTCATGGAGGGCAGGGCTGGAGCTGGCAGCCTGGCAGGAGGCAGATGCTGAATACTGAATTACTTTAAGAAAGAAGAATCAGGAGGAGCGGAGCTCAGCATAGAGGTGGGCTTGGCATGTGCATGGGTTGAGGCTCAGCAGGGAGAAAGGCAGATTCCACAAGGTTGGTGGCTGCTGACCACTTAAACCCATCGGGTCCAAGCTCCCTGACCTTGTGTGAAGGATGGAAGATGTGAGAGATGCTAAGACCCTTTGGTGGGGAGCTTCCATGGGGCTGTCCCAGGTGTGGCAGCCCCTCCCTTCCCATTGGTCCACTACTTAGGTATAACATCAGAATGGCTGTGCTGCCTAGTAACAAACAGCCAGCAGAACAGGGAGGGTGCCATTCTGACCTTGGCACTGGGAGCCACAGACAATTGTACCCTTCTCAGTTAAGGTGGGATTTTTGTTGGCTAGGTTCCCTCTGACCCTAGAACTAAAACACCAATTTCAAAGTGCCGGCGCTTCAACAACAACAACGCTTAAATACTTCTTTAAAAACTGGGGCTGGAGATATGGCTCAGTGGATAAGAGCAATGGACGTTCTTGCAGAGGATCAGGGTTTGATTCCCAGCACCCACACGGCAGCTAACAAGTGTCTGAAACTCCAGTTCCAGAGGATCTGATGCCCTCTTCTGAGCTCCACGGGCATTGCATGACACAGGTGCGCTTACACACATGCAGGCAATATACTCACACACATAAAATAAAAAGAATCTGGCTATTAGCCGGGTGTGGTGGCGCATGCCTTCAATCCTGGCACTCATGAGGCAGAGGCAGGCGGATGTTTATGAGATCGAGGCCAGCCTGGTCTATATATAAGTTCCAGGTCATCTGGGGCTACAGGGGAGATCCTGTTTTAGCCAGAAAAGGTTCCTTGTGACTCTATAGTCACAAAGACTAATCACAAGCCCAGGAGTGTGTTGGGGCATGCTGGACACAGCCACACCTGCAAGTCATCCCATCAGTTTTTAACAAGCATATGAAACTAGATCTGGGAAGCCTGCTGTCTAAAATTACTTTCTGTAGCAAACAGTTCTCAGCCTGGTGTTGAAACCCTGAGCCCACAGGGCTCTGCCCCTCTCTCTTTTTCTGTCCCTCATACATCTTTAAATGACTGTGTCTTACTATTTTCGTGTCTTTTGGAAATTACGTGTGTGTATGTGTGTGTGTGTGTGTGTGTGTGTGTGTGTGTGTATTTTGTCAAGCAGATCAAGATGTGATTTCTAATTCTTTTGCCATGTGTGGGCTATGCTGGAATCGAATCATAGCAAAAGGTCAGGGAACAGCTGACAAAATTGGCCGTGCCTGTTCAGTACTTTCAAATCAGACCCAATTCCCTGTCTGTACATTTGTCCCAACCCTTTCCATTTGTCACATCAGTATCTGTGACCACAGGATATGTAAAACTACCAAGGGATTTTTAGCACCAGCTTCCCAAACTCCCTGGTGCCTTGGACACTAGGTGGTGTCAAGTTCATCTGAATTTCATCTCCAGAAAATTGAGTCCTTAATTTCCCATTTTCTGAGAGCTGTTGCCAAAAGAACAGATTTGGTCAGCTGAGACTGAGAAGAATAACAGCAAGTGCTCTAGGAGGAGAAGGCACAGCAAAGAGGAATGTGGAGCCTTGACTTGGTCCCCACGGGGCTGGGATCCAGCATCGCCCACTCCGAGTTCACGTAAAAAGCCAGGAACCGCAGCACATGCCTGTAATCCCGGTACTAAGGAGACAGAGACCAGAAGGTCTGTGGAGCTCAATGGGCGGCTGTCAACTGGCAGTGAGCTCCAGGTTCAGTGAGAGACCTTCTCTCAAAAAGTAAATGATGAGAGATTGACAAGGTACCTGATACTGACCTCTGACCTCCACCCATGCACACGTGCACACACATGCATACACACACGAAAAGGAAATGGAAGGAGACTCTTCTCTTCCATGGTGGTTGGTAGAGAGAGGTTTGCGGGGTGCATGGTGCCCGATTTCTCACCTTTGCATCCGTGACATCCTGTGCAGTTCCATGTCATCACTGCCCCGGAAGCCTTTGGCAAAGGGATTGTTCTCGATCTTCAGTTGCGTGATCTGAGGGTAGGGGGAGAGCAAGCCAGTTCACATTTGATTACCACAGATGACCTGGGTGTATGAAGTATTCTGGCCCAGAGGACACACAAAGTTAGTCACGCAGCCAGCCAGCTTTAAAAAGCAGGGAAAGCCTGGATTTGGTTTGCTCATTAATTAGAGTCATACTCTGCATCATCATACAACAAGATTTGTGTGTGTGTGTGTGTGTGTGTGTGTGTGTGTGTTCCAAACAAACTCAAAGCCTCAACTTCGAACCCCTCCCCCTCCAAAAGCCCTGCGTGTTGGCATGGTGGCCACACATCCGGCAGCAATGGTAATCTCCCACTCACTTGATAATTGCTCTCAAAAGTCCCATCATGCTTCGTTTCACATTCATTTCATCATTTCGCAGACAGCACTGGCTGGCCCAGGTGTAAAACACTGCCTAATGAATAAACGCCAGCACATCCTATCATCCCATGGGCGGTAGCTAGCCGCCTCGCTGACCTTCTGAGGCGTTCTAGGCAGGGAAGCAGGAATTCCCATCTTTAAAATCTGTGTTGCCACCTGTGGGCCTAGCGCACTGCCGATTTGCACGTTTTGGTTCTAGGTTCAGAACTTTAAGCCTCAACACATATTATATTAGGGTAAGAATGTACAGCAGTGGATCCAGGTGACAGACTGCATCCATATGGAATTTGCTAGAAGTGTTTCCTAGGAGTTGTGTGTGAATTAAATTGTCACAGACTCACATGACAGGCCTCATGAGTCCACCATCAGCCACTCAGAATTCCCCTTCAGAGCTACTGCCACATCTAAGAGCATCTGTACCCTGCTTTGCTTAAGATCTTTTTTAAACATGTATGTAGGGGATGCATGCCTGTGTGTGCATGTTCATATGTTGGGGGACACAGATGCATGTGCAGGCACGCATGTGTGTGTTCTTGTGGAGGCCCAAGGCTGACATTGGGTGTCTTTCTAGCTCACTCTCCATCTTGTATATTGAGGCAGGGTCTATCATTTGAACCCAGAGTATATTCAGCTGGTCTGAGTAGCTAGCCTTCTCTGAAGATCCTGTTTCCCTTGCCAAAGCACTGTGAGTCTAGGTGGACTGCCACGCCATCCCAGCATTTAGGTGGGTGCTGGGGATCTAAACGACGAACCTCAGGCTTGTGCAGCAAGCACTTTACCTTCTACCTCTCCCCAGTCCTTTTTAAGATTTTTTATATTTGCTTTTGTTTTCTGAGACAAGGTCTCACTAGGTAGTCCAGGCTGGTCTCTAAGCCACAGTGATCCTAAGTGCTGGGATCAGAGTGTGAGTCACCCCACCTAGCTATGATTTTTATTTAAATCAATCCCCTTTTTATTCACAATTATTTTACCAAGAAATATGTCACAACAAAGGAAAATCTAGTTGTACCAGAATCACTTTGTATTTAATAAGAAGACATTTGTATTAAACCCTCTCTACTGGTGCCCACAGAAAGGGCTAAACCCTAAGCCAGCCGTCTGTCTGGAAGGAGAAAGTAGATGCTGTTAGAGAGGAGTTTAGCACAGCCTAGTTCTGAACAAGATTCCCTCTCTCATGGAAGACTAGAGGGCTCACTGAAGAGATCAACATTGCCACCAAGCCTGAAAACCTGGGTTTGATCCCCAGAGCTCACATGATGGAAGGAGCAACTCCTGCAAGTTGTCCTCTGACCTCCACACAAATGCCCTGGTGCATATGCCCACCCATACACACCACACACACACACACACACACACACACACACACACACACACACGCACACACACGTGCACTCAAATAAAATGTTTTGATATAATTAAAAATGTTACTAACCGTTCTTGGGCTCAGCAAGATGGCTCACTATGTAAACCACTTTCTGAGCAAGCCTGGTGACCTGAGTTCAAGTTCTGGAACCCATATAAATGTGGAAGCAAAGACCTGACTGCACAAAATTGACTTCTGACCTCCACATGCATGCTATGGCAAGTGTACAGCCACATATACATATCATTCATACATACATACATACATACATACATACATACATACACACACAATAACAGTAATAAATTTAAATAATTACTCTTTAGTGGGCATGATGGTACTTATCTATAATTCAAGCACTTAGGAGACTGAGACAGGAGGACTGTAGGTTCAAGGTCAGTCTGAGCTATATCTCTAGACCTCATACCAGAAACAAACACCAGGGGCTAGAGAGATGACTAAGCAGTTAAATTTCAGGTGGCTCACAACCACCTGTAACTCCAGTTCCAGAGGACCCAACGCCCTCTTCTGGATTCTATAGGCACCTTCACTAGCATTGTACATACACAGACACAGTTACACACAGATACACACTTAAAATAAATTGCTGGGCATGGTGGTGCACACCTTTAATCCCAGCACTTGGGAGAGGACAGCTAGGGCTACAGGGAGACCCTGTCTCAAAAAGACCAAAATAATAATAATAATAATAATAATAATAATAATAAATAAATCTTTTATTCAAGAAAAAAACCACCAAAATGTGGTTGGAGAGGTGGCTCTGAGGTTAAGAGCATTTACTTCTCTTGCAGAAGACCCAGGTTGGGCTCCCAACCCCAACATGGTGGCTAACACCAGTCCTTAACTCCAGTTTCAAAGGAACTAGCACCCCCTTCTGGCCTCCGTGGGCACTGCATGAATGTGTTGCACTTACATACATGCAGGTAAAATACTCATACACATAAAATAAAAACAAAAACTTTTTTAAGAAACACAAAAATGGTTGCTTTTTAAATATTTAAAAAATAGGTTTCTTTTATTTTCTATGTGTAGAGCATTCTGCCTGCGTATATGTAAGTGCAGGACATGCAAAGCCCATGGAGGCCAGAAGAGGGCATCATATCCCCCTGGAACTGGAGTTATGAATAGCTGTCAGCCACCATGTGGGTTCTGGAAACTGAACCTAGGTCTTCTCAAAAAGCAGTAAGTGCTCTTACCTGCTGAGCCATCTCTCTAGCCCTAGTTTTTAAATATTTTATAAATACATGTGCATATGTGTGTACATTCTATTGTGTGTGTGTGTCCCTCCCTTTTTTTTTTTAAACTTGGCCCATTTCTGTAGCTTGCTTGCTCCTCACACTCCCATTTTAAGGTGGGTGTTTTGTTTTGTTTTGAGTCATGGTCTCACTATGTAGCCCTGGCTGGTCTGGAACTCTCTATGCAGACCAGGTTGGCCTCAGTTTTTCAGGGGTCCTCCTGCCTCTGGCTCCTGAGTACTTAGATTAAAGATGTGTGCCTTTGAGTCCAGCTCTGATTTTGGTTATTTGGAGCAGGTGCTGGCCTCTGGGTGCTGGCATCACCAGCCCGCGCTGTCATACGCAGCTCCATTCCTGCAGCCTTTGACTTTGTCTTGACCCTCCAGTGCAAGTAGAAAAATCTATAAATCTTTTCTGAAAACCATATGTGAAATGTACATTTCTAAATTCAGAAGTTTCTCTCTATTTTGTCATAAAACACAAGCCAATGAATGACAAATCATTTTTTAAATGAATTTGTAAGAAGTTCACTGAAAACTAGATCACTTATAACCAGGCCTGAGGAGGTGGAGAGATGGCTCAGTGGTTAAAGGCACACACTTCTCTTGCAGAGGACCCAGGTTCCATACTCAGCACCCACACAGCAGCTAACAACTGTCTGTAACTTTTTATGTGTATGAGTGTTTTCCTGCATGTATGTAAGTGGACCCATGTGTACGATGTCCACAGAGGCCAGAAGAGGGTGATAGATCCCCTGGAACTGTAGTTTCAGACAGTTGTTAGCTACCATGTGGGTGCTGGGAATGGAACCTGGGTCCTCTGCAGGAACAGCCAGTGCTCTTAACTACTGAGCCCCTATATAAATCTTTAAAGCTGGACATGGTGGTACATGCCTGTAATCTCAGCATTCAGGAAGTTGAACCAGGAGGACCAAGATTTTGAGGACAGCCTGGCTTACATAGTGAGACCCTGTCCTGATAATAGTAACAATAACAATAATAATAATAATTTGGGCTGGAGGTGTAGCACAATTGGTAGAATACTTGCTTAGCATGCACAAAGATTCAATTGTAGAAGCCTAAATCAGGCATGGCAATGTACACCTGAAGTCCAGCACCTAGGCTGTGGAGGCAAGTGGATCAGAAGTCAGTGATCTTTAACTTCTGATCCAGCCTGGCCTACTTGAGACCCTGTCAAATAAAATTAAATAAATAAATAAATAAATAAATAAATAAATAAATAAGGGCTAGTGAGCTGGCTCAGTGGTTAAGAACACTGGCTGCTCTTACAGAAGACCCAGGTTCAAATCTTAGCACCCACATGGTGGCTAACAATCTTCTGTAATTCCACTTCCAGGAGATCCAATGCCCTCTTTTGTCCTCCACAGGCATTGCATGACATGGGTGCACTTACACACATGCAGGCATAACACTCATACACATAAAAAACAAATAGATCAAAAGTAAATAACTAATAAATAAATAAAATTGTTTAAACAAGGATGGAGGGAGTGAATGCACAGCCCTGCCCCACCCCCGTCACAGAAGTCAGTGTCTACAAATACTGAGGACAAGGGAGGGTGTAAATTCAGGGCTGAATCAGAGCCCAGGCCAGAACATCACTCCTTCACTGAGAACACAAGACCCAAAACTGACCCAAGGAAAAGTGAAAAGCATAGGCCTTATTTTATCAGTAAAAAAGCTTCTTGCAGGGCTGGACAGATAGATCAGCAGTGAAAAGCATTTGCTGTTTTTACAGAAAACCTGGGTTCAGTCCCCAGCACCTACATGGTGCTCACAATCATCTCCAGTTACAGAGGATCTGATGCCCTCTTCTGGCCTCCTCAGGTACTGCATTCACTTGGTGCACATACATACTACAGGCAAAACACTCATACACATAAAAATAAAAATTAAAAAACCACCTTTTTGCTCAAGCTGCTCCTTTTAGTTCAAGCCCACTTATCCCCCAATTTTTGTGCTGACATGACAGTGTTCAGGCATATGACTGCAGTCAGGTGTAGTGGTGCATGCCTGTAATCCCATCACTTACAAGACTGAAGCAGGCAGATAATGAGTTCAAGGCTACATAGTAAGATCCTGTTTCAAAAAATTAAGAAAAATAAAACAAAACCCCAAAATCATTGCAGATGATAAAAATAATTTGTTGTAGATATGAGTGTATTGATTTCAAACATGACTTTTTTTTTTTGGCAGTGTTGGAAATGGAATCCAGGGCCTTGCATAATATTCAAGTGCTCACTGCTGACCTGCACTCCAACCCTCATCTATGGCTTCTTTCACCTACACAGAGTACACAGACACCTCCAGGACCTAAGAATTGCCTTTGGCATTGCACAACATGGGTGCACTTACACACATGCAAGCAGTACACACATGCACATTAAATAAAATGTAAAGAAAAGAATTGCCTTTGGGAGGGCTGGGGAGATGGCTAAGTCAATAAAGTGCCTGGAAGACAGGCATGAAGACCTGAGTTTGGATTCCACACATCTGAAGCTCTGGCTCTGGGGTTACAGAGACAGAAGGATCCCCCAGGAACTCATGACCAGCCAGCATAGTCAATTAGTGAGTGCTTGGTTCTGTGAGTGACCCTTCTTCAAAAGATAGGGTGGGGCCAGCAAGATGGCTCCATAGGTAAAGGTGCCTAACTCTAAGCCTGATGTGCTGAGTTTGAGCACAGGGACGGATGTGGTGGAAGGAGAGAATGGAGTCCTACAAGTTGTCCTCTGGCTAATCTCCACTCTTGCACTGTAGTGTACACACACACACACACACACACACACACACACATACACAAACATAAAAATTTCATTTTAAAAAGATAAGGTAGAGGGGGTTAGTGGAAGACGCTCAGGTCAGCTGGTGGCCTCCACACATGTGCACATGTGTGTGCACACAGAGTAACCCTAGAGGAACTCTGCCAGGCAAGCTCATCCACATGTGCTCTCTTACACAACCCTGTCTGCAAAGTTCCCTTCCTAGTAGGCTGCATGTCAGCTTATGGGTCCCCAAATCCACACACCTGGAGGCCCCACGTCTACCAAAATGCTCTAGGGAACCAATTCTATTCGCCATACAAATGCACTCCTTCCAAAACCAGCATAAAACCGGATATCCGGCGGAGGGGGGGGAGCTGGGAGTGGGGAAAAACAAATATAAATACTGGCTCCAACTGGTGAGACAGCGGTTGTAAAAATTAATGAGAATAATTGTTGTGAATTCTTGCTTTCGGGAGGAAAAAAAAAAAAACCCTCTCGAGGCCCAAAAATCTTAATTATGTCTCTCTATTAGGACTTCATTTCCTGGTCCCAACTGGAAAGCTCGTACCTCATAAATATGGACTCCATACACAATGATTTAAGCCCAAGGAAAATGTTCCGTGATAGAAAAGTCAGTTAACATGGGGGATATGCACGCTTGCATACACAGGCATTGTTGCAAGAGCTGGGAAATGAGATGCCCATGTGACTTGTGTTTAACACCTCAATATTTCTAAGGATGGCTCTGGGAGCTGCTGACACTGTTGTGAAAACCATACAAAAACATGTTTCACAGAGCGAACGTTGCTGGCAAAGATTTGAGTTTTTAAACATCTTTTCATTTCAGGCTGTCAACCATCTGGGGAAATAACTCCCAAATCCAGCCTGGGAGCTCAGCTGCCTGAGGAAGAATGTCTCATCATTAGCAGCCCTGTGCTCTAAGGGTTTGTGACTGCAGTCTAAGGAACTCTGCCCTGTACCTACCCCTACCTGGCACCTGGGTCCATATACAGAAAGCATCCTGAAAGCATTGAGCCTTTTAACACCCTGAAAACGGCAGCTTGCATTTTCCCAGGTCATCCTGGCTGCTGAATCCCACAGATTATTTTCCCACCCCGCTCATTCATACAAAAGCAGGACGATAGAAAAGGAATTCTTGATTGACAGCAGGACTGGGGAATGAACCAACCAAACCGCAAAGACTAACATTTGCAGTTGTTTTTCAACCACAGTAATAAGAACTTCTTTAAAATCTCAGTACTTCGGGTTTTAATATAACCTGGGAGTGACACCGGGCAGGCAGAGTTTTCTAAAATTTGAATTTTGAACAGAGCTTACCTGTTAATAAGCGGATCCAACTGGCTTGATCGTCAGCCCCAGTACTTGGTGAGAATCTAGGCTAGACTCTGTATTAACCATTTCCAAAGATTATCTCATGCAATTCTCATGACCCCATGTGGTGGATGTGCTTATAATCCCCACTTTACAGATGGAGAAACTGAGCTAGCTCTGACCTTTGAATCTGAACCCTCAGTCCCCTGAGTCCACCCCTTAACCCACATGGTGCTAAGAACTCAGCTGGCTCCTATTTATGCCGCCAAAGTCTCAGCACCTGTTCCAGGTGGGACACTAAAGCAAGGCTGAGTCCATAACTCCTAAGCAGCCCTGGCCCACTTATTTAAATCACACGTCGTATATTCACACAGGGAAGGTTTGCAGGGTCCTGAACTTGACTGAAAAAGCTCATTGCTTTGGACTTGCTCTTCATACAGAAAATTCATGACTTTGGAACTGTACAAGTGGGGAAGACCCAGGACAGGACACGATGACAGACATTTGTCTCCCATGAGCCACCACTGAAAGTGCCTAAACTCTGCCCAGCTGGCTAAAAAGACCTTCATGAGCAGTTCAACCAGACTCCCAGATCCAACTAAAAAGAAAAGAAAGCAACCGAAGCCTTTGTGTGGTCATCCGACACACATCCAAACGCTGTGTTGGAGACACATGCTTGCAGATCTGTGGGCATTCAGATCCACAGTCTCTAGTCTATGGGCAAAACTCATACAGGGGCTAGCAAAGTGACTGAGCAGATAAGGGCACTTGCAGCCAAACCTGATGACATGAGTTGAATTCTCAGAACCCACAAAAAGGTTGAGAGAGAAAACCAACTCCCCCAAGTTGTCCTCCAACCCCCCCCAGGCACGACATGGCACGCATGTGCCGACTCACATGCACACACAATAAAAAAGACCAGAAATGTGGGGATACTAGGTATAATCGTGATTTTTTGCCTATATGGCAAATGTAACATTGCATGTTTCAAGGGGCCAAGGATGTAGCACAGTGGCAGAATGTATGTTTAGCAAGCTTGCAGCTGTGAGATGAAAACCCGTGTCCCCCAAAATAAATTAAAAAATAAATAAAGGCATTCTGAAGACAGCGCATGTTATATGTGGTAATTATGCTTCTATAAAGCTATAAACCAAGGGGAGAAGAAGAGGTGGCCAGTGTCTTCAGACTGCTGACAGCAGATAGGACCGATGTTATCATGACATAGAACTTAGAAATGTCCCCCAAGTACCCCCCAAAATACACTCACATGTATTTTTTAATGATCATTACATATGTCTGTCCCTCCTGTCTTTCCTCTATGGATCTGGGGTACTTGCCTGGAGGAGAGATGATGTATTTTTGACCCATGTGTCAAGTCTGGGAGCCTTTAAGCATCTATATGTGGAGGGGGCTGAGCTGCCTTACTGCTATTTTCTGCAGTGACAACTCCACAGCTAAACACAGGTTTGCAGCAGGTCTCTGGGAGTAAGATCCGTATTGAGCTGAAATAGTTTTGCAAAGTTCAGAGCAGTTGCCTGCACTATTTACTCTTGCTGGGCTGGGCTGCTGGGGGCCATGTGGAAAAGGTTTCCTTCCCCTTTAAAAAAGTAATTATGTTTGGGAGGGAGTGGAGTTCCTTCTGGGAAAGGGGAAAGAAGCTCTCCCTAGATCTGGAAGGGACCATCTATCACTGCTTGGCCTTGCCACTGACAATATAAACTTGGAGACACCAACAGCCTGTTGTGACAGCAGTAAAAGTGGGTGGGTTGGGACATTATCTACCATTCGGTCTGTACCAGAATGACCTTCACAAGGTGACAGGAGTCTTGAGGGAACTAAACCTGCCTTTGACCCTTCTCTGGCCCCTCCTGCAGGGCTCACAGCCTTTATTGAGCCTCTCGCCCTGATTTGGGGGTAAGTGGGGAGCGGGTGCCATCTTCACTGAGCTCCTGGGGAGCCTCCTCTTTGCCCCTTTACTTTGCCACCTGCCCCACTGTCACTTGAGGTACTGCTATAAACCACAGAACTGGTCTCAACAGAACAGGTGACCCCACAAAAGGTGGTATCAGCCACCCACCCCAGCACAAAGTAACCTTTCTGTGGACTGTGGACTCGCCCAGACTTTAAGTGCATGGCCACCAATGGATGACAAGTTTGAGTCTAACAAGAGATAGATAGATAGATAGATAGATAGATAGATAGATAGATAGATAGATCCCCCATAAATATAAAGCAAACAGCTTCAAGCAAGCTTTACCCTGCAACTCTGCCCCTCCCCAGCCCCCTGTGGTAGAAGTTGGGGCTGCTGTGCAGAGGACTGAAATCCATTCCTCAAGCAGCAAGTTGGGGGGGTGGGCAGCATATTCCTATAAACCAGCAGGCGGCCCTCAGGTGCAGGCTGCTGAGGACTGGGCCTTACCTTGTGGTTCTGGTAGGAAGTCACTGCGATAAACGCGGTCTCCGGAAAGACATGGGTACAGAATGCAGTATTTTTTGAACCAAATCCATTATTTTCGTCTGCTTTCACGATGTGTAATCTGGGTTGGTATTTGTGCATGGAGTTCAGGATAATCTAAAAATAACAGAGAGAATGAGATTGTAAAAAGAAAAAAAATCAAAACTCCCTTTGTTTCCAGATGGATCCCTGCTCCTCCCCACCCCCACCGCCAATTAGCTTTATTATATGGGCTCTCAAGAAAAAAAAAATAGTCATTTTTTTCCTTCTGTTTTGAAAAGGGGCCAGTGATTTCATTTAAAAGAAACATTTCAAAAATGACAATTTCCAACTAAGAAAGTCAAAGTAATATTCCAGGAATCTACCCAAAGAACACACAGGGCAGTAAATCAGAATTCTTAATAAAGTTTGCTTAATAAATTAACTCTGTGCACAGGGTAACTTCCCGCTCCCAACAAGCCCAGCAAGTCTGGAGACAAGGAAGGTGGAGGCTGGGCAGCAATTTGGCAATGACAGATAGGAAAAAACAAACAAACATACATACGTACATACATCATACACACATACATGCACATACAAACAGTTCCCACTCCCTCCCCAAAGCACCCTCTGGAGAGCTCAGGGAGAGAGACCAGACCTCAAACCTTGGCCCTTTGTTTGGGAAATTAAGAGAAGGAGTTGTTGGTAGACTGGAGTTGACTGTGAGGTAGCACAGAAGCAACCCACCGTGCAGCCCAGTGAAGCTGGACTGGCTGACCTGGAGTTTTCTTTTCTTTGACTTTACCATTTCTGGACCTACAACTGAAATGGTCTCTCAATTGGCTTGGAGGGGAGGTATTCTCTTTCTCCCTCCCTGGGGTGCTCTGGGGTCTAACAGGGGGTTTACTGCTGCAGCTGCTGGCTATTATTGCAGCCACTTTTATTACATTATTATTATTACTATTATTACTATTATTATTAGGAGGAGGGGGGGGAGGGGGAGTCATTGAAGTTGGAGTCCATGACCTCCGTCCACTGCACTCTCCCTGAAGTCAGGACTTCTTCTAAATAGGCACCCTTACTAATAAAACTGGGTTTGTTATCCAAATAATGCCCATATTTTGGTGCTTTAGGGTGACTGTTAAATGCTAATATTTACCAAAACCTCTCTGATGTATGGCCAACTGTAACTGGGGAAATGGGCACATTTAGCCATCCCCAAACCTGGCCTGCTCTCCGCCCCCACCCCGTCAGCTAGTGGGAGTGGAGGGGTGGTCTCAGTGTTTTTGATTATTGCATTGCTGACCCTGGGGCAGGATCCCCAGTCCAACCCCAGAGCTGGGCCTGCCTGCTGGAGGGGAAAGGGCCGAGGTGCGACCCGACCCGACCCAGGGAGAGCTCCCACCGGGCAGCCCAGCTCTAATCTCCAGCTGCAGGGCTGGCCACCTCCCCAGGCCGATAGCTAGCGACAGGCAGCATGGTGACAGAGAGGCGCACGGGCTCAGGCTTGATCACCACAGCCCCTGGCCCCTGACTTAACCAAATTGCCTGTGGAGACCTCAGGAGGGGGATCTAATGGCTCCTAATTTCATTAGGGTGGCTCTAGATTCAAAGTGGGGCCCTAGGCATGGAGCACCTACCTCCCTTTCCCTGGGTGGCTGAGAGGGACCTGAAACATATTTGGTGGCAGGGGTGGACCTTCCCTGGGTGTCCACCCCAGAGTGACTCCAAAAGGCAGAACCACCTCTTAGAGCTGACATGGGGCAAGGGGACAGTCTCACTTCAAAAGGAGGTTCCACTGAACACCACACACACTTACAAGGAGGGACACAGAGGGGAGAAGCAGAGAATCAGGCAGGGTCTTTACCAAATAGTCGGTTCCTCCCTGGACCTTGAACCTAAAGTGTCTGGTAACACCCTAGACCTGCTCAGTCCACAACCAGGAGAGCCTGAAGCTACACTGGAACAGCAGGGACAACACATACTGGGCAAGACCATGGGTCTAAACAGACAGGAGGGTATTATGCCTAGAAAGACTTTCTACCAGCCATCCAGCCTCCTCTGCACCCATAAGCATAACCCCTCAGTGGGCCATCCTGGGATCCCCTCTCTTCCCCACCCCTAAGGCCTTAGTCACTCACCCCCGAGACCCAACAGAAGCAGATTTCTTATTTGAACCTCCTGCCCAAATCTATCTTCCTCAGTCCCCTCATTTCCCTAAACCAGAGCCTACATAATCCCCTAAAGAGACACAAGGAGCCACTTTTGAAATCAGACCTAGCCTCAATCCCCTGCCCCCAATACAAGCTGTATGTACTTGGGCGTGTTCCCTTTTCACCCCCCCCCGCCCTGACCCCCCGCTTGTAAAATGTTTTCGTCTTTCTCCCTAAGTTCCCTTGGCATATCAAGTGCCCAAAGATGAAGAGCCCATGTGTATGGTCGAAACATCTAGCAAAGGGCTCTAGATGCAGAATTCAGAGTCTCTCCAACCAAGATATTTGGGACTATTTCTCCAAACGCTGGGGCTTTGTTTTCCTCTGGGAAAGAAGGGTGAAGCAACAATGAGTGATCACAAAGCTGTTCTCACTCTCCCCCACAAATCCACCAGGCCCCTCTCTTATAGTCAATATACAGACCCTAGGTTTAGGGTCCTGATCTAGGTTTGCCTGCTCTAAGCACTAGATATTAAGGTTCAAAAAAATAAGATTTGCACAAGAATATCAAACCTAAAGGAGGCACTGGCATAAGGGTTCATTCCTTGCGGATTCCCTTGTCACCTGTAAAAGAGGAGGCAGGTGACCTCATCTGGGCCAGTCCAATACTAAAGTAGGGCTTAAAAACGGAGTGGGGAGACATGTGACTCCCACAGTGGACCAGTCTGCACTGGGTACCTGCTGGGCTACAGTACTCAGCCTCTGTTTTCTGCAGGACTGAAACACAGTCCCAACCTGCACCCCCTACCACCCTTACCACACCTGGCTAGGGCACGGACTGGCTCGGTGGACCCTGGTGTCCAGGCCTGGAATAGGCAAGCCTCAGTTTCCCCCAGCAAAGCCAAAGGTCAGTGCCGATGGCCTGGACACAGCCCTGGGCCAGGAGAACTGGAGCCCTATCTCTAGCCACCAGTGAAAGGCCTTGGACTAGACTTCAGGAGGGTTTTGGAAGGTGGGCACCCTGATCGGTAGAGACAGAGGAAGAAGTAGTTGAGAGGGAAACGAAGACCAGGAGAAAAGTTGAGAATGTGAAAAAGAAGAGACAGAAAAGGACTGAGGAAGGAGGGGCAGGTAAGTCCAAATAGGAAAAGACCAAGGAAGGCCTGGGTGCAGGGGTTGGGGCTTCTGAGTCCTGTAGGGAGGAAGAGACAGGAGATCACCTCGGAGTTGGACAGGGGAGAACCAGCAAAGAGGCCAGAAGGGAGAACTCCAGGGAGAAGAAAGGAGATGGCTGGAACGAGAGCCTGCACAGGACTTACATGCCCAAATGGGTCCAGGTGGTTGTTGGTGAGCTTGAGTTTCTGGAAAGAGACAAGTTGTCGCATCCAGTGTGCCCCGGTGGCTGGAGAGTCTGGGTGAACATAAAGGCGGCCCGGCATGGCTGGCTCCGCTTTGCCAGTCACAGACCTAGATCAAGGAGAGGTAGCTGTCCTGTGAGGACTGCTAAGAGGGGGATGTTCTGGTATCCACCTGGCCGACCTTGGGTCTCCTCAGACATTTGTAATCCCTGCTGTTGGAGAGCACCCCACTCAGCATCCCTGATCTGGCTGTTTTCTTCCTCATTCTTCCTCCAGCCCAGCACCAGGAGTGACCCTGCTTTCAGCTTCTGCAGCCCGCTGGTCCGTACAAGATCCAAAAATCTGGTCATGCAAAAGTCTTGAAAACTCCTTAGGTGCTTTCAAAGGGGGCCTCCTCCTCCAGCGTGCCCCCTTGGCTGCTGAGGAAGCAGTGGACCCCAGAAGGGGCCTCTCCTCTCCTGGCTGCTGCACTTCCACACCATGGGCCAGTTTTGCAATTTCATAAAAAAAAAAAGTCATGGTCAAAGCAGGTAAATCATAAAAAATAACTGTAAATGGTTTTATGCTCTCCAGAAATACATCCAGAGCTTGGTAACAATACTCTTTTAAAAAAAATATCCATAGCCCATGTGTGTGCAGAATACACAGGGTCACCTCACTTCCTGCTAACCTTAATTTTGGGGGGTCTATGAAATGGGAGCTAGTGACACAATGAAACAGGCTTGCACCTAAGCCTTTAGCACCCAGTCAGAGTTCAAACGTGTTCACCGGGTCCATTGCTGGGGTGGGAGAGGCCTTGCGCTTTCCTCCCAGCCCGCCTGCCCTCTTGTATTCCAGTGCCTACCATTTATTATCTGCGAACTTATATCTGTGGTCGTCGGCAGGAACGATGTCCATGAGCAAAATGTACTTCGTTTTGGGATTAAGGCCTGTCACCTTCACTTTATAACTGGGAAACATCCGCCTGGGAAAGAGCGAGAGAGGAGAGAGGAACACACACGGAGAGGAGGGGGGACTTAATGCCAATATCAGGAGAATGCATTCGCTAATGGAAAAAACAATTCCATAAGAAATGAGGAGGACTGGCCCTGCTCCATTCTCAGTGAGCTCCACCCCAGGTGTCCCCCAAGTTACTAAGAAGAAAGCAGAGAAGGGAAAGCTGGAGGGAGCCACCTCAACTGCTGGTCACCTATGAGGAAAATGGGAAGGAGGAGGCTGCAGTGATCAGCACGGTTTTGAAGAGACCAGTTTCAAGTCTTCTGAACTGCTCTACCCGGAACCAGTCACCTAGTGTCAATCCGGGTGAGAAGGAGGCCCATTGATACAAAGTTACCTTCTCATTTGGGATAGGCACTGCCAATGTGTGTGGACACCAGGGGGGCATCCTGGGGATATATCCACCTCTGATCCTGGTTCTGTCCTCACCCTAGGGGTGCGGGTTAAATATGGGTAAATTACCAAAGCGAATCCCAGGTTCACTCTCGGTTAGTGGCCAGCCGCGCTTCTCTTTATTCCCCCAACTTCTCCCGAGATGCCTGGCAGGTTTCCCTCCTGGAGCTTTAACTCCCAGGCCCTCACCAACGGCAATTCAAACCCTTCCAGATCCAGATTTAGAAAGAACTGAGCAGGCCTTAACTGGGCGCGAGCAAAATTGATGGCACACACTCGGCGCACACGGGATTACGCCACACTGCCACGGCGCGTCAGAAATCTCCAGCCCACCTGATGAGATCTGCGCCCCAGAAAACAAGGGATCCGGCTAGCCGGGCCGCCAGAACAAGTTGTGGGATCTGGGCTGGCCCGGTGTCGGGGAGGGGTGAAAAGAGGCCTCTTCTTGCAGGCGCGGAGCAAGGGTCTCACAGTGTTTATCTGCCCGAGCGCGTGCGCCTGCGGGCGGAGGCGCTGGAGACTTCGCAGGCCTTTTATAGTTAAATCCTCTGGGCTCCGGCAAGGGGGGAAAAAGGCAGCCGGCTGGGTCTTTCTTTCCTGGGCGGAATGGAAAGGGGACCTCAGATCGATCGCTGCTATAAACAGACCGCCGCCTCCCAGTTCACTCGGGCCTTGGGCCGAGCGGGGGAGCCGACATTGTTTAATTTCAAGTAATAATAAACGTCACCGTTGTCAGTTTATTGAGGGAGGCTTCGGCTGGAGAACCGGGCGTCTGGAAAGTCAGCTCCACCCTCTGTCTTTACACACCCACAGCTCCCCGTCTCTTTGGACGCCTGCTCGGGTTGACTCCCTTCCTTCGGCCTCTTGGATGATTGGGACAAGTGTGGCACGGGGAAGGATGTGATGAGTAGGTTCCCCAGGTCTGGACACCCACCCACACTCACTCACAAGCTGGGCACCAGAGTTGCACGGCTCTGCCCCCCCACCCCCACCCCGACCTAGCCAATGGAGTGAAAACTCCTGGCGGCCTGGAAGGGCAGCTCTGAGCTGTGTTTATCGGTGTCTGTGTATAGAGCTCGGCGGAGCGCCCCCGCTCAATTTCAAAGGCGTCGGCCGCTCTCTATAAACAATGAAAGAGGTAGCAATACATTCAACAATTCGGGGTTTGGCAATCTGGTGAAACCCTGGAACTATTCCAAGGTCAAGGAGGGTGGGAATTTGAGGTGGGGGCAATGGATCAAGTCCAGACCTATGAACTTAAAGCTGGTCTCCTTGCTGCCTTCGATGCCTGCCCTTCTCATCTTCCTCCCCTAATCTGTCCAGATAGGTCAGCCCCCTTTATTCTTCCTATATACGAAGTAGAAGAAATGTTCCCATTCCACAGGTGAGCATTTGGGGTGGGTTCCCCTGCTGCTGAGGACTGGAAGAAGAATTCTCAACTATAATCAAACTAAACATCTGTCTCTATTTTGTTCTTTCTCCTCTCTCTTCCCTCCCCATGCGCTTTTTCCTTCTCTCCCACCCCATCTCCTTATCCGCCTGCTCCATGTGCCAGCTCACCTCCCTGCCTTGGTGATGATCATTTCTGTGCCCACTTCGTGGAATTTCAGCCACAGTTCTCTTTCGTGGAGGAACACCTTGATTCCTTCCATGCCCTGAAAAAGAGAGGACAGTCTAGCGACAAGTTGTGGTGGCCGTGGGCTTTCCTTTTCCAAACTCACCCTATAGTCAGAGGTAGCCTCTCCTTCACCTCCTGCAAGCTGGTGAGCTCAGAGGAGGAAACCTGGCTGTGGTGCTGCAGAGATGGGCGCTTTAGGGTACCCCCCACCAGCCTCACCTGAAAATCAGTCCCTAGGCAGGCCTCAGCTGGGAGCCTGCTTCCAGCAGCCTCTCAGGCCCACACTGCCTGCTCTCTCCTCTACCAACATGAAGCTTGAGGACCATGTACAACCACCATGCCCTTGTGCAGAGGACTAGACCAGCCAACTCCAATCCACTTTAGTCAAGATGCAGTTGGTGTGGGAAAAGATTCAATATAGAAAAACCTACTGGGGTATTCTTGTCACCAAACGCCCATTTGCAAAGCATACAGATGTTCAAATATCGTACATACAAATACAAACATACATGAAAATTTCAATTTGGCATTTTATTTATTGTTTGTTTGTTTTTGAGACAAAGTGTCACGCTAGTCCAGGCTGGCCTGGAACTCACTATATTGCAAAGACTGGCAACCAACTCTCAGCAATTCTTCTGCCTCATCCAAGTGCTGAGATTCCAAGGCACATGAATGAGTATGCCCCCGGGTGGAAATTTTCAATTTACAAATGTTTATCTGTTCCCATGGATGAGAGAGAAAATTAATTCTCAATGGCAGAAAGAAAATTAATTCTCAATGGCTGTTTTAATAGACCTTCCAGGGTTCTCCCATATATAGTACCAATCACTGCCCCACAATTTTAGTTTAGGGGTACCACCATTGCCCCTTTCTGCTGGAAAAAAAAACTGATGCAAAAAAAAAATCAACCAAACAAAGGAAAAACAACTCAGATACAAATCTTCATTTTTGAAACAATCATCGACTAAAATGTGAAGTTGCTTTTCCTTAAAAGAAAAAAAGTCTGTAAGGTTCCCCAACTATTCTTATGCTTCTATAAAACTATTCTTGTTTCTATAAGAATTCGCACACATTTTTCTGAAAACTGAAACGAATGAGAAAGGCTGAAAAGGCCTAAGAAAGGGTTTCCGAACGTCTTCTGGTTAAGCCACTCGGCTGTATGCCCTGTGACACTTACTTTGAATCCACCTGGAGCACCCAACGCACAGGGGTGCAGAGCTCACCCGGGGATCCCCTCTCCGCTGCCTGCTAGGCGAGCTCGCGGCTGCGTTAGCCCAGGGCCGGGTCTCTGTGCGCTCCCCTCGGCCGGCCAGACCCCATTGCTAGACAAATCGTACTGCCGGCTGAGCTAGGCGGGCTGCGCTCGGTCTGGTCGGCGGGCGGAGGCGAAGGCTAAAGAAAGATCTAAGGAGGGTCAAGCCATCGCTCATGCCGGCCTGAAGCGGCTGCTGACCCGGCCCTTAATAAGGCAGGCCTAGAGCGGCAGGAAAGGAATTATCTGGACCATTGTTAGCTGACCCCAAATAGTGAGATAATTGAGATCTCTCCAACAATGTAAATAGATTTCTAAAATCCGCAGGCCATAAAGATAATCGCCGTGATAAAGTGGATTGGAATAGAGTGGTTTCTGGGGGAGTTGGAATTGGACTAGCTAGCGAGGAAAAGGGGAAATCTTGGGCGAGCGGCCCCCTGCAACCCACGAAGAAGTCTGGCCGCCAGGTCTGGGTTTCCTTACCTGCTGGGTGAAGGCCGCCTGAGGGGAAGATGGGGACTTGCTGGGGGCTCCCAGGGCGCTCTCGGGTTTGGAATCGCAGGACCTGTCTTTGGAGTCAGGTTCCAGAGGCGTGTGCGCCAGGCCAAAGCCTTCATCTGCGTCCGCCATGGTGCCCGCGGTCCTGTGCCGGTGCGAGGTTCTATTCTGAGGACAAGAGAGAGAGAGAGAGTTGGAGAATACAGTCCTGGCAACACCGGGGAGCAGCAGTTTGGTTCCCAATTTTCAGCCTTAGGCACCTCCGCTCCCGGCTGAAGGAGACTGCGGAATGTCTTTCATTATTATTACTTTCAAAGCACAAACCACCTTCTGCAAAATACCCGCATCAGACAGGGAGGAGGCGGCTAGGCCTCCGCATCTCCCCTGCGCAGGCTCTAGGCGATAAGAGAGCTGTCCGTCAAATTTGTCTGAACTCCTGGAAGAGCCAATAAAGATAAGGCGACGGTATTTTTGGAAGGCATTGGGTAGAAACACAAAACAAAACAGAAAACAAAAACTCAGTGTCCTTTTGAGAAAATTTCCTCCTCAAATTACAGGAGGCCATCATCGGACATCTTTATGAAACCTCCTAAGAGATGTATTTTTCCAACACAAGGCCCGAAATACCTGCCTCTGGTGAAAAAAATAATAATAACAGCAAAAACAGACGAGAAAGGGTCTGCAAATGAGTTAAAATTATAATGCATATACAACTCTCACTGTTACAGGCCTTTAAATGAAACAGCCTTAAAAATTAAGTCTCCCCCTTTCACCGACCTTAAGTAAGACCATGTTAAAAAGTTCAAAGTAACCCCACAGAAGGCTAGAGGGAGAAAGACGGTGTCCAGGGGAGGCCTGGCTGGCCTGGGTCTACCTTCACCCGGTCCTCCCGGCTTCCCCAGCTCTCTAGTCCGGCAGGCATTTGGTGGAGCAGCCGGGGTAACGAGAAATCCCTTGAGCTTCAACCCGGCTGGCTCGCTGACACTGCAGGCCCGACTCCTGGTCCCACAGGATAAATATCGGTCCCAGATAAACCTTGGGTTGTAAGCCTCGAATGGGCTGCCTGGAGCCGACATGGCTTAGTAGGGCAGCCCGGGGTTTTTCAGACAGAGAAGGACGGAGCCCGCAGAGCTTCAGGGCGGGTGAAGCCAGTTGAGTCTATTTTCTTAAGAAGCATTTCTACCACGGCCCTTGCCACAAAACACCAGAGGACTTTGTGAGGGGTATGCAAGCATTGCCCTCCAGCCTTAGCAGCTTCTTCGCCAAAGACTGGATCCCACCCTGGTTTATAGTGGCCAGCGATCTAAACGCAGCCATAGACAGCTTCTGAGGCCCAACACCCAGGCAGCTTCCTTCTTGGTCTCATCGGTTTGGGGGAGACTGTGGTGTGAGCCCCACAGCTTTCTCATAACAAAGGAAAGCAGGGCTGGTGTCCCACAAGCTCCCGGATTCACAGCCAGCAACCAGGAGAAACCCACCCTAGCCCTTGCCAGGGTCCCGGGAAGCTCGGGGGCTGGAGGAGAGGAACAAGATGTGGTTTGACAGAACCAGGCCGGCTGTGTGCCTGCAAGTCTCGGTGCTGCTCCCCGAGCCTCAGCAGCCTCCGGGTGGAACTTCCCAGCTGGGTAAAATCTCCGCAAGCCGCTTCTGCAGAAAGCAAGCCGAGGCTAGAGTCCGCCATTCTCTCCTTCCCCAGCGGACTCCTGCGGGCTGCTCCCTCCCGAGCCTCCCCGGCCATCTGTTAGGACTGTTACCTCGCTCGGTGCAGCGGGCGCATTCGCCACCACCCCTCTTCCTCTTAGCAGGGAAGTCGGTGACCAGGTGGGGGTGCAGGCATGGTGACTCCGGAGTCTATGCTGAGGACCGCTTGCCCAGGCTGCTACAAAGAAGGACCCACCGCTGGAGCCTCCCAGCGACTGCCCACCTCCAGCACACACCTCCTCCGCTGCCCTGTGCTGTTCGCTCACCCTTAAAATACTTTCAAGTTGTCAGGCTCCAGAAGGGCTCTGCAAACGCCAAACAGCAGCTCCCGGAGCACCCAGAACCATACAATCCCAGTGCCCGGTACTGCCCTTGAACCCCCAGGGAAGAAAAGTTAACAGACTGGAGAGAGCCTTAAGAATTGTCCAGTTGCTTCCAGAGAACGGTTTCCAGGGTTAAATTTCCAGAATCCAAGGTAAGAGTCTCTCTCTCTCTCTCTCTCTCTCTCTCTCTCTCTCTCTCTGAAATACAAGCTAACTCAGCTGAGCATAGTGACGTTGGGGTGCCAGGATGTGTAGAAAGTACTGAAATTGCTTATCCAACTAGCTCCCACAGTTCGTTCTCTCTCTCTCTCTCTCTCTCTCTCTCTCTCTCTCTCCCTCTCTCTCTCCCCCTCTCTCTTCTCTCCCCCCCTCTCCCCCCCCCCTCTCTTTCCCCCCCCCCCCCCCTCCCCCCTCCCCCTTCCTTCTCTCTCTCTCTCCTCCCTCTCCCCTCCCTTTCTCTTTCCCTCCCACCCACCTTCCTCCTTCCACTACCTTTTTTACTGTTTCACCAGATTTCCCCCAAAACACTCAAATCACAACTGGACTCTCAGCTCCAGACCTGACAGTTCTCCACCCCTACTCCCTTTCCATCCTCCCTGGGTCTCAGCTGCACTGAGTCAGTGGCAGAGGCAAAAACAAAAGTTCCCTGCCCAAATCAGGGGCAAAGCTAGCCTGTTTCTCTTTGGGAAGGCTAGCAATTTCAGTGGCCTGGTCCTGTGGAGAACCAAGATTGGATGCAGGAGGAGTGTACACACCCACCAGCCTTTGCAACCTCCCTGGATTTCTGTCTCTACTGCTGACCTTAGACAGTTGTGTGACCCCGCCTGCCTCCGCCAAGCCGCCAAGCCGGGGCTAACTGCCCTGACATCTCTCCTGTGACACCCCCCACCGACTTATCACCCCCCCCACACACATATTCTCTATAATTTGTGGGTAAGGGTGTCTTGGGATGGGGGCCAAGATCAAAGATGCCAAGAAATCATCATGGGTCCCCCTTCATACACACAAATACCTGTGGGGCCATCAGACTGCCCTGGCTGGAGGTATACACAGGGCAGTGACCAGTTTTATTAAAATAATCAGTCACCCCTGAAGCTGGCTAGGGGTTTCAGCCTCTTGGTCCTCACTCTGCCCTTCCCTTCCTATTATTCTGAGGGTGAATGGAATGAGTCAACAGACGTATAAACACAGGCAGCAGATCGCAAGTAAGTAAACCCAGTCAGAGACAGCAAGGATGGGTGCTTGAAATAAATGCCAAGGGCCCCACTGTATCCCACTCCAGCCTCTGACACCACTCTGCTCATCTCTTTTCTGGAACTGTCATTAGACTACAGCCTGCAAGCGAAGAAGAGTAGGCTGGAAAGAGGGAAAATGCCCCTGGGCTGGAGACCAGCAGCGGCTTTCTGGGGCTGCAAAATCTCAGGCCAATGCTATACAATTTCCCCAGCAGATTGTCCAGCTGTAAATGCGGCGCTACAAGGGCCAGAACCCACCCTCCACCTTCCAGATTTGTTTTCAAACAGACGTTGGCCAAGTTATTTATTTGTGCAAACACCTTCACTCTTCCAAAACGTCTGCTTGGAGGCATTTGGGCTTGAGAAGGAGGCAACCTCAGGCCAAGGATGGAAAACCAGTGTAACATCAGGACAGCCTGCATCTTTGCATCTCTGGATGAATGCAGGGGAAATCCAGAAAGACCTCTCCAATCCTTTTACATTCTCGGAGATTTGCGGATAAAATTAATTCCCATAAATAATCGACAGGCCCTTTCCCAAGAGGGAAAATCCGGACTCCCCTAAGCATCAACCTAGCCAGATTCCACCTCCTTTCACAAAGCTTTCACGGTGCCTAGTGCCAGCCTCCACACAATATTGTTTTGTTCTTTATTTTGATTTTTAACCTGGTGGGGGAATTTATTTTTGCAGTTGATGTTGGAAGATAAAATGCAAGAGCATGTCACTCTTAATTTGCTCAACAGCAGTTCGGGGGGTTCAACCAGGCCCACATAGGGTGGAAAGCTGGGGTCCCAGGGAAAAGAAGTAGAGGGCTTCAGACACCCATTCCTCCCTCCTTAATTCTCCCCAGCAACACTCACCTTGAAAACTTTCTCCTCTCCTTTGCAGCCCAGAAGCTTGGGAGTCTTGCTCACTGAGGCAGGGAGCTCAGAGGAGTTTTGAAAGGACCCCCCCCCAGCCAAAAAAAGACCCGTAGTTAAAGCAAAGACTACTTTCAGGGTCTGTCAGAAGCAAGTTACCTCCCAGCTCGTAGTTGGCTTGTGGTCTCCGACAAATTAAATATTACTGTTTATTACCAGGCATACCCCAATAAAATAAAGAGGCAACTGGGCGATAGAGACTATCTCACCAGTGCGGCTTCTATAGGACCTGGAGACGTCACAAGTCACGCAACCAGCCTGCGCCTAGTCATGCTTGACTTGGGGGCAGCGGCGGGAGGTTAACGTCTCTCCATCTTCCTCTGTTGGTCTAGGGTCTGCTGTAAGACACAAGTCCAAGACGCCTGGGCCCCGGGGGGATAAGTAAAGATATAAACAAACCCAGCACCCTCTGGGGAAATGGGCGTGATGAACGGAAAACACAAATGGAACCAAGATCGATTATTTAAGAGAGGGGAGAAAGGAGTCCTAAACGAATTGAGCTGGGAGCCCACCTCAGTCCCCATCGGAAGGAAAACTCCAGTGCTTGCAGAAGAGGACCGATGCTTATTTACATTTTGTTTTCTAATAGGCGGCCTTTTTCAGCTGGTTATATTTAGGGTGCGATAACTCATGCCCAGTTAGATCCCTACGCAGAAAAAAATCACTTGGGGCTATCTTGGTGGGAAAGAGACAGTTTAAGACAGAGAGATGCCCGGCTGTGAGGAAGGCCATTCTGCGTGTGCTCCTTTAGTGAGGTCTGGGATCTAATCTGTCCTGAGTGGCCAGGCGGGGGCGGGGTGCGAGTGGTTTTTGGGGGCAGGGGTGGAGAAGGGTGCGTTCTGTGGAGAAAACTTACAGCGCCGGGTCCTGCGGAGGGGCGAGACACTATTTTGTTTTGTAATACCGACAATTACTTCTAGTTTGATCAATGGGTATAATTTCTAAGTGGTCGGTTGGATCTGCGTAAGCTTTTTCATGCATTTGGTAACCCACCCGTGTGAGTTGCGAAACGTACCGCGTAGACTCTCCTGGCGGCGCCGAGCAGAAAGCTAGGCCTGCCCAGCGGCAGCCAGCGAGCATCAGGCCTTCGGGAAGGGTAAGTTCTCTGCCCAGCGGCCCCACGGGGAGCCGGACTTCGGATCCGGACTCGACCCCACCTTCGAGGTTCCATCTTGGGGTCTTGTGCTCCTTGAGACCCTAGAGTTTTCCGAAGTCTGGCCTGGCTTCGGGCCGGGTCCACCCGGACGCAGCGGCGGTGACCCAGGCGGCCGGCAGCTGCAGGCCCGAGGTCGGGCCCGCGGGGACCGCGGACAGTGGCCCGCATAGCGCAGCGCACAGCGCATCCCTGCACTGCTCCCGGCCTGCCCCAACTTCGCTTTCCTTTCCCAAATAACTAACTCTGACCCCAGACTTTTTCTCCCAGACGCCAAGAATGCGATCCGGAATCCTTCTCCCCAACCCTGGTCGGATGACTTCCTAGCTGACCTCTGGGCCGAGATGGGCGGGAAGCCCAGGCGCAGGCCCAGGCCCAGGCCCCACCGGACTGGAAAAAAGGAAGGCACATGAGGAGCCGGGCCAGTTCCTTTCGCTTTCCTCTAGTTTCGGGAGCAACTACCTGAACCAGACAGAAAAGGTTTCCACTGACCCGGCAGCACACGGACTCGCTGTCCCAGGGCTCAGGAAAAAGTAGCGTCCATAGAAAAACAACCGACTCTAAGCAGAATTTAGTCTCGGGGCCTCCCTTGACAGTCAATTTTCAGAACCAACAACACACCTCCTTCTTTTCTTTCTAAGAACTGTGTCCTGTCCCGTGCACCCCACTCCTGGCTGGGCGTTTTCCTCAAGTGTACCATCCTCCTGCAAAATTTCTTGATTTTTAAAATACTAAAGTAGATAGGGTGACCTAGGGTTCTACTTTTAAAAATCAAAACACCCCCCCCCAAAAAAACGAAGGGAAAGATTGCTGGGCTATTTTCCCCTCTCAATCTTCTATGTTAAAGGAAGTCACAACGCTGTTGTATTATTTTCCTATTAAAAGAGAACACACAACAATGCACTCCCTTCCTATCACTCACTGTGACCCAGACTCTACCTCACTTGGGTGTCCACTGGGGTCATAAAGTACTGTGCAGCTAATCCTGGGAACATAAGAATTCTAACGACAATAGAAACGATGAGAAAACAAACTTTGACCAACTCAGTTTGCAAAGGAAGGCTCCAGGGGAACATGGGGAGTTCCTTTTTTCCCAGGGTCACTTTCCCTCTTGCCTAGTGAAATCTGGCTTTATTGTATTTTTTCCAGGATCCTCTCTTTTCAGCACTTAATTCAGATCCCAGCTTCTTCCCCTTTGGATCTGTTGGATGTGATTATTATTATTATTATTTATTATTATTTATTATTATTCAATACGTACCTCTGATATTTCCAACAAGGACTATTGCTCTGAATTAATGACTCAACTCTTATGAGTTGTTTTGTTTTTCATGCAAGGGTTATGAGATGAGAAATGTGTCTTTCCAGAGAACCAACTGAGGGGATGTAATTGTAGGGGTTTAAACACCCTCAAAGAACAGGGAAGGCTGCAGGGAGTGATGTTTGGTGGCCCCTCCAGTTTGGGTAGAGGAGAAGGCAAAATGTGATCCAGAGACTCTTTGTAGGCTGTGCAGAGCCTGGGAATTGGAGCCATATCTGCATCCCAGAGCTCAATGAAGTCCTGCGGGTATATGCACCACATCTATACTACCAGCAACTGGAAAATGTATGTAGAGAAATATACTGAATTTCATCTCTCTGGACTCATCGCTAGAGACAAATTAATACCTCCAGGTCTGGGTACAGGGTGAGGGGAATCTGTCTGAATAGCCCTTCCTCCCCGACTGAAAGGTGCCATGGGAACGTGGGAGCCCCACTATTCTTCTGGGCTCTGGAGAAGACAAACTTTCCTTGGCAAAGGGAATGGTGTCACGCTGTCGACACTGACTATTTTTCTTGTTGCCTTGCTGGGTGGAGAGGAGGAGGGAAGAAAGCAAGCAAGAAAGAGAAATTAAATCCACACGTGTTAAGTTTGCTCAAAGGGCCGGGTTCAAAACCAGAGATGAAACAGCACCTTCAACTTGGGCTGCTTTGGGGCCTTTATCCAGCCAGCGTGGCCCCAGGGAGCAAGACTCCCCACTAGAGAGAATCGGATCCCAGTTTCATAAAGGGTTGCATGTAAGGGGGAGGGGAGGTCTCTTCCAGTTTACACTGGACACATCCCAGGCAAAGGAAACAAAGGAGGAAGTGATTGGAGACTGGTTATTCATTTATGAAAGTTCAGTCTGATATCTCAACACTCGGGTCTAGGATTCCAGCAACAGTCACCCTGCAGCCCAAGTGGGCCAGGCCAGTGGTTTGAAAAATTTCAGAAGTCTGAGCAGACATAGGCCTACCTGGGTCCAGGGGACCTAAAACACCATTTATCTACACTGGTACAGCCCGGCTCAGTCTCTGAGGATAACTCTTCTAGCCCTTACTTCTAGCCACTTTTCTCCCTGGGTGAGATTTGCAAGACCTAGTCTGCGGCCCCAGCTGGGCCTTGCTGAAGAGGAAGGAGGTGAAAAGAGGTATCACTCCTGCCTAGAGCTGAGAGTGAAAACTCTGGTAATGACCGTGGGGAGGTGAAGGGAGGTGGGGGTGCAGGTGAGAGCGAGAAGGGCAGTGAGACCCCAAAGTAGAAGGATCCATCACCCAGATGATTGCATGGTCAGGACCTCTAATTTTTCTTCCCCTTCAGCCTGGGCTGCCAGGCCCCCAACTAGCAGGTTCCTTCTAGTCTCCCGATGCTGCTGGCTTTCTGGTATTTGGTAACAGCCCTGAAAGAAGGATCTGGAAGCAGGAACAGAGATAGATACCTTTCTTCCCTCCCAACCACAATTGGAAAAACACACTAGAGAGCAAGGGACTGACAGGTGAAAGAGTAACGTTTCCAACAGGACCTTAGGTTTCCTGATCGCTATGGCAACCAGGAGTCACCTTCAAGGCTCACAACAATAGGAGTGAGGGACAGCCAGTCCTGTACTCTGCCCCTCAGTGTCCTGAGGGCCCAAAGCTCTTCCGTTGCTGCCCTTGGCTTCAAGGAGAAAATTAAGATTTAGTAGCTGCCTGACTGGGGATCCCTTTGAGTGAGTGCTGAGCAATGACCTGAGACCCAGGACCTTAGTGGAAACCCCCACAACCTGAGCTGGGATCTTTGGAGTCCTATGTTTTCCTTACCCTGGCTCCTTCAGCACATAGAGTTCCCCACAGACACCCAACCTATCCCTTTGAGGGTGTGGAGCAACTTCTTATGGAAGGAGGAAAGTTGGAAACTAGAAATTTCAATATTAAGGTCCACACACTCTTACTGAGGTAAAGGGCAAATTTTATTATACCCCACTTCCTTTTAGAGGAAAAAGGGTTTGGAGAGAACATTAAAGTAATATTTCAGTTGCACTGCCTCTCAAATCTGTGGGGAGAGAAAATGACCTTTTTGGAAGGGTGAGGAGGGTGGTGGACAGGACAGTACAGGTCAGATTTCCTGTGTCCCATTTGAGAGGCAACAATTTTTGAGAAAGGATGGGGCACTGCCCCCCTAAGACTGACTGCCCAACTTGGCACTGATCAATCTAGGGAGACAGAAGGGGGAGGGTGGTGGGGAGAGGAGTTTAGGCTCAGGGTTGCCCATTAAGGCCTTGGGGCTGCAGGATGGTAGCAAGTTCTCTACTGGGCCGTCCTGAGAATTTGTTCCCTTCTGTGAGTAGAATAGCCTTCTCAGAATTGGTCAGGAAAGAGAAATACTTTTTAGCTCTTTTCTTAGATTCTTTTTATCTTTTCGACATGGTTTCCCTATAGCCCCAGCTGGCCTTGAACTCACTTTGTAGACCAGGCTGGCCTGGACCTCCTGGATTAAAGGTATCGTACCCCGGCCAGCTATCTTTTCTCTAATTCTGATGGGGCAGCTGAGGTCCTCAAAACTCCTAGCCAGCCAGTAGTGTCCTAAGCATGCCTTTCTGTGGGTCTCAGCCTGGCCAGGCCAAGCAGAGGACAGCTGCAGAATCCTCCCCTCCTCTAGGTCTCCTGTTTTCTTTACTCTCAACACTTTTATTTAGATGGGCTGCGGGGAGGGTCTGTGTAGCCTAGGAGCCTGAAGCTCTATATGTTGACCTGGATGACCTTGAACATCTGATCCTCCTGCCTCTACTTCCCAGGTGCTGGGATTACAGGCTTACCACACCATGACCATTTTTATTGTTTTTTTGTGTGTGTTGTGTTTCCTGCATGTCAGGTAAGCGCTCTCCTGACTGAGCTACATTCCCAGCTCTCCCACTCCCAGGATTTTTGTATTTCCTTAAGCATCTTACCAATACACACACACACACACACACACACACACACACACGTATGTGTTTTAAGCTCAGGAATCTGTTAGCTCTTGATGCTCTAAACTAGTGGACTTTTTCAGCAGGAGAGCTGTTGTGATCTGGTTCCTGCTGATTCCTTCAGTCCATATAGCCCTGCAGGATAAGACATTTCCAAGTCCCCAACTTTGCCAAAGAGGTTTCTGGTGCCCTGACTAGGATCATATTCTGGTGAGATTTGATCCCAGGAGCACCCTCTCTCCCCCCAGCCACTAGTTACATTATAAGTTCCAAGGCACAGGAGGACACAGGAAGAGATGTGTTGGACTGGGAAGTTCAAAGGCCTCAGAGTCCTGGCAGCAGGCAGAGGTACCAACTGGTTTTCGAGCCCAACTTCTTCCTCTCACTCCTACTGAAACACAGCAAAGCCAGCACAGGACCCTGTCCCCCTCCACCCAGGATAGAAGATGCTGGGGGCCTGTTTTCCAGACCTCAGTTCTGTGTTTTCAGATCCTGGCCTATACTCTTCAGAGCCTCAAGGCCTGTACACACTGTCCCCTACAGGCAGGGTGAAGGACCATATTTAGGCTTAGAGAATGTAAGGACTTGGCCAAGGCCACACAATCCCTGCTGTAAAAGCACACAGCTTCTTGCCTTTCACCAGTCTCTGGCACCCCAGCTAAGATCTAAAATGGAACCCTAGCCACCTCCCAGTGCAGGGAAAACTGCCCTCAGAGTGCTCTGCAGTTGTGGCCTAGCCTGCTAAGGGAGCCTATGGAATGGACCTGCTGGATTGCCAGGCCTCCTGGCTCTTGTGTTCCTTTCCCGGGTGCTCTGCTTGCAAGATGTAGAGAGCTTGGCAGGCCAGCTAGGAGCCTCTGTTCTGCTGGCTTCTTGGAGACCAAGTCGGGAGTCAGTAGGGCCTCAAGCCTTGGGATGTGGAGGGATCCTCTTCTGCCCTGTACTAGTCCTTCAGCCCCCTTGGTGTCTCTATTTCTTAGTCTTTGCTTCAGGTTGTCTGTCTGTCACCTGTCTGTCAGTGTGCACTGGCTCTCTGGATCCAAGTCAGGCAGAGGAAGACTTCCTTAAAATAGGGACTGAGTCTAGTCTTGGCACAGCACCTATAGGGAAACGCAGGAGTCGACACTCTTGCCTCCTCTCCTTCTGTTCTTGCATCAGGACTGGCTTACCACCCTGCATTTAATGCCTTCCTGCAGAGACTCCAGGATTCAGGCCTCCTCCTGCTCACAGATGGATACTCTGCCCAGTGATGGGGTGTCTCACAGTTCTCCCCCAGCCCAGTATATGAGTGTTGCTCTGGAGCCCCCATCTTTGAATCAAGGACAGAGCTGACTTCTTTTCTGCCCTCTTCCCAGTCTCTATCTGTGACAAACCCAGCAGTTCCAGAATTCCCACTGGAAAGGGGCTTCCGTGTCCACCTCTGAGTATGGCCTTGAATCATTTTTGCTGCTGTTTTGTGTTTTATGTTCTTATTTTCTTTTTTTTCAGGCTGGCCTTTAACTCACTATGTAGTTGAGGATGATAGTAACCTTTAACCCTCCAG